CTCTCTCTCTCTCTCTGTCTCTTATGAATAAATAAATAAAATCTTTAAAAAAAAAACAAAAACCAAAAACTCAATGCCCCACCCAGCCAAAGCTACAATGATGCTGGTTTCCAAGCATAAAAGCAAAAATCTGCCACTAACTAGGCTGAGCAAAAAAGCACTTGGCTGCAGCTAAGGGGGACTTGTGCTGCCCTCACAGAGGTGCATCCATCTGTCTTCAATCAGCATTGAACTGATGAACACGTGGAACTAGTATGGTGAGTACAGAAAAGAGCCAAGGTTTGAAACCCAGTACTTGACCTCTGACCTATGAAAGGTTTACCTGGCTCAAGGAAACCTCAACTTTTGCTGCTCTTCAGTTGGTAAATTGTGACTGGATCAAGCCTCTTTATAAATATTAACTGTGAGTGAAATCCAATGAATTAACCCAAAATCAGGTAAAGTAGTAAGGAGGGCTAATCCCAGGAAAAGACAACTCAATGAGAACACTATCCAGCCTCCACCACCAGACCTCTACCTCTCCTCTCTTAGGTCATCCATCCATTACCTGATCGTTCCCAAACACACCAGTTTGATCGCTATAATACCCTCCCACTGCACACTGAATTTTCACAATAGTTTGAACACTTGTTAGCCTAATTTATCATCAATTCATTGGATTGTAAACTTTGAGGGCAGAATCACCTTGTTTCTTACTGTGCCCCAAGAATCTGGCACATGGGTGGCTACAAATATTTTAGTGGGTTGAATATAAGACTGGAAGATGGATGTTCAGACACTGTGCTGGGCACTGGGGATACAGAGAGGGGCAACACAGATATGGTCACTGCCCTCATGATCCCTAAGTTTGGCGCTCTGAAAGGAAGAAGGAAGCGCCAGGAGTGAAGCAGGGAAGTAATTTAAGTAGGGATGGTGATAAGGGCAGTAAATTAATTTGGGGTAGCTATCAGGGGAGGTGCAGATGGGGCAGGAAGAGTTCCAGGCTAACTGAACTGCAAGTGGGAACAGCCCAAAGCTAGAAAGAACTTAAGAGTACCTGAAGAAGCTAAGAGCAGTCAGTGTGGCTGGGGAGCCCTTGCCAGGTGCCAAATTATTCTCTGGGCTGGCAAGGAGACACCTGCAGTTCATCTGGGAAGAGTGAGACAATGCTGAGTCTGCCCTATGTGAGCCTCAGTCTCCTCACCTGCAAAACAGCTGTCAACCCTCTTCCCCTGCAGTACTGCTATAGGAATAAGAATACCTGTGAGGCCCAGCACGTGCCTGTCGTGTCTACTCTCCATAAAGGTGTCCTAAAACCAATGTCAAGATGATGCCCAAGAGAAGCACTGAGGGAGACCACTGAGGAAAAGCTAACCCCCAGCAGCAAGAAGTAGCCACATTTTCTACAGTTCTTTCAAATTAGCTGTTTGTGTGTCTAATGAAGCAAGGGTTAGATTCAAATCCCGCCAACCTCAACTTACATTGCACCTACCCCAGCCCAGGGTCTGTACTGGTCATTTTCACACCCATCTCCTTTAGTCGTCATAACCAGCGTATTAGCAACATGCAGGCCCTGGAGGCTTAATTTCAAAGAAAATGCAGCAAACCACGTACACAAGTAGGAATGCTAACAAGCGCTATCTGCAACTCCCAACCCCTTTCATAGTTAATGGCAGACTGGTGAGATCTTATTATCAAGACTTCCCTTTTGTTCTTTTAGTTAGTTCAGCGTTTTTCCAACTTCAGTGCACATTCGAATTACTTGGTAGAGCTGGGTACATGACGCCATACGTACCATACTTCAGGAGCAATGCAGACTATTCAAGGAAAACCGTGGCTATCCAGGGTCCAAAGGCCGATTTTATTTTTTTAAGTAAACTCTACGCCCAACGTGGGGCTCAAACTGACGACCCCAGGATCAAGAGTCACATGCTCTACCGAATGAACCAGCCAGGCGCCCCACCAAGGGCCGACTTGAGACCCTTCCTAATCCGCAGCAGGGTGCGACTCCACTCTCCCGGGTGAGGAGCCTGACAGGCCGCCTGGAATACAGTAGGCGCTCAACAGACGGCGGGATACTTAGAAGTGAGTAGGGCGGAGAAGAGCGCCCCGCCGACTTCCACCGGCCTTCAGGAGCCCCGGAGGGCCCCGGGAAGAGGGCCCTTTAGCCCGGTCCTCGCGCTTCCGCCCCAGACTCTCCCCGCCCGGGCCGCACCCCTCCCAATCAGGTTTCCCCCCCCGACCAGACCCCGGCTCGCCACTTACACGTGACCGCAGGGCACTTGAACCGGCTTCTCGTACACCTCTAAACACACGGGACACGTGAAGCGGCCCAACGGGTCGGCCTCCGCTGCGGGCCCAGCCAGCTGCGAACCACCCTCACGGTCCTGCTGTTGCGCCGCCATCTTGCTGCCGCGCAGAGCAGCGCAACGGCGGCCGAGAAGGAGGAGCCCGGGGGGGCGGGGCCGAGGTAGCGGGCTAGCGCGCGCGCTCGGGGCGGGGCTTGAGGCCAGCCAGGGCGGGGCAAGGACGCGACCCTGGGCCGTGAGGGGCACTCAGGGCGTGGCTTGTGGAAAGGGCACGTGGACGGTGTGGGGCTTGTGGGTGGGCCACGCCTCCTGTCCCCCTCTCTTCTTCCCCCCCCCCCTAACGGATGGGAGGGAGGGTGAGGCCGAGGGAAATCTGGAAAATGTGGAAGTCAGATCCAGACACCTACAGAACTGGAACAGGCTTTGTGTTTCAGCCACTGTTTCCTCAATTTAAATCATTACTATTACGTAATATTTCATCCCAAATAGAGTTGCCTTTTGTTTAAACTTACGCAAACAAGTTTCATTAAAAAAAATTTCGTTTTAGGCAAACAAATTTTAAAGGGAGATCTATCGGGCGCCTGGGTGGCTCAGTTGGTTAAACAACGGCCTTCGACTCAGGTCATGATCCTGGAGTCCCGGGATCGAGTCCCACATCGGGCTCCCTGCTCAGCGAGAAGCCTGCTTCTCCCTCTGACCCTCCCGCCTCTCATGTACTCTCTCATTCTCGCTCTCTCAAATAAATAAAATCTTAAAAAAAAAATAAAATAAAGGGAGATCTATCACTCCCTGAGCTATGAACAGAAAATAATCACTTATTAGGAAAAAAAAAATCGCTCTTTTCTAAGAGCACTGTAAAAATACAGTGGAAACAAGACAGCGTTATTAATTCATGCCGGATACTCTTGACACTGAAAAGGGAGATTAGCCATTACTAGAGGTGTTGAAGACCGGCTATTGGCCACAAAGGAGCCAGCCTAGTGAAAGCAGAAGTGGGAGGCTGATGTCCCTCGGTGAGTCACCATGCTTCAGTGCCGTGTTCACTTGCCTCCTGGCCATGGGTCCCAACTACCGCACTGTAGAGATGGGGAAGCTGAGGCTTCCCGAGGTAGTCTAAACTTCAGTCTCACAAGAAGGCCCCCTGACCTGGAGCCCAAATGTTTGGAATGCCAACTTTCTCCACTTTCTACTGCACCAAATTTGGCTCTTGTGGACAGCCCATTTAACAAAAGATACATCTTGTTAAAAGGCAGGCTCTGCTAACAATTCTAACCAGGTGTTCTTGACCAGGAAAATCAATGATTAAGCTTCCATCCTGAAAGGCCGCAGAGGCCTCACAGTATGGAGTCTACACAGGACAAATAAATCCTGTTAACCAGGTTAATTGAATGCAGGAGGATTGTATTTAGCTATCCATGTGGGCATCTTTTCACCAATAAATAACTTGGCATGTATATTCAGCAGCTCAAGGGGTATACACTTGATCGTTTTTTTCCCATTCCTATGGCAAGCACTCATGCGTCTGATCTCTTCCCAGCCAAATATGCCCTGTCTCCCCTCCAGGGATGGGGTTGCCTTGGCAGGGGCAGAGGTGTGCCATAGGTATTTATAAGACTTTGTGTTAGCCTTGTAGAGGCTGCCAGACCCTGGGGTGGGCGCAGGGGAGCCCCAGACCTGGGCTTCAGATAGACTGCCTCCAGTTTGGTCTCTTGAAATGAACTTACACAAGCTTATACACTTAGTTATAGAGTCAAAAGGACAGGATTGAAATATTAATAGTGAACTTTTTTGTGCTTATTGGTCTAAGCATTTTACATGAATAAATCCTCATTGCAATCTATGACTTCGGCTCTATTATCCCCATTTTACAGCTATGCAAATTGAAGCACAAAGAGATTAAATTAACTTTTTTTTAAATTTTATTTATTTATTTATCAGAGAGAGAGAGCACAAGCAGAGGGGAGCGGCAGGCAGAGGGAGAAGCAGGCTCCCTCCTGAGCAGGGAGCCCGATGCGGGACTTGATCCCAGGACCCTGAGATCATGACCTGAGCCGAAGGCAGAGGCTTAACCAACTGAGCCACCCAGGCGTCCCAAGATTAAATTAACTTTTAATGGTAATGGAAAATGATAGGATTTGAACACATGCAGTCTGGCTTTGGCACCTGTGCACTTAAGAATACCTGTGTCTCAGTCACCTGGAAGGTTTCTTAAACCAATTATAGGAGCCAACCCCCAGAGTTTCTGATGCAGCAGGTCAGCGGGGGTAGGGCCAAGGATTTGCATTTCTAACAGTTTTCTAGGTGAGGCTGATGCTGCTGCACCAGGGGCCGTACTTTGAGAACCACTAGCCTATGCTATCCTCCTCCCTCCCCCCTCCATCAGTGCTGGACTAGCCTGGATATATTCCATCCCTTCCTGTTTTTTTCTAGGCATTCCCAATGAGAATGTCCCCATTATCCCTTCACAGCTTGCAAATACATTGCCAGGCCTCATCTCCACACTCAATACTCAGCCACAATCAACCTAATAATACGTGTTAAACGAAACTGTCCTTTCTCAATGTTCTTAAGGAAACTATTTCCCACAACAGTCTCTTCCTCTCCTTTAGCTTTGGTCAGCCTCTCTCAGGCTGCCCACATCATCTAAGATCTGCTCTGAGCCTGGAGTGGAGAATCGGTCCTGCTCAAAGGCTTTGCAGACTTGATTTTTACCACCAATGTAGACTCATTCATCCAGGCAACAGAGAGTCCCTGAGGGCCTCCTGTGTGCCTGGCCCGCCGCAAGGTTCAGAGGAGAAATCTGGGGCCTCTAATAGGCAGTGGGGTAGGTGGGCGGTGGCAGATAGTTTTAAAAGTTATTCAACTATACAACAGTCCTAAGGAAAATTGCAGGGAGATCTGCCTGCCCTTGTATGAGGTGATCCAGTCACGCCGTGCCCACACTCCCCACCCACAGAAACCGAGATAATCCACATGTGTTGTTTAGGCCACTAAGTTTGTTGTCATTTATCATGCAGCAACAGACAATACAATCTCCTTAGTGGGCAATTTGCCTATAATTATCTAAATTACGGGAGCATATACTCTTTGATTTATGTCTTCTGTTTTCAAGACTTTATTCCTTGGGCCTGGGCCATTCAATTTGTGGTTATTTAAATGTAAATAAATTTAAAGACAAAACTAAAGAGTCAGTTCCTCTGTCTCACTAGCCATATTTCCAGAGCTCAATAGCCACATGGGTATGTACTGGACACAGCAGATACAGAACATCACCACCACAGAAAGTTCTGCTGCTACAGACCTACTCACACGTGTAGCACACAAGCAATTTTGACCTTTAAATACTTTGAAGCTGGAGGGCGCCTGGGTGGCTCAGTTGTTAAGCAACTGCCTTCTGCTCGGGTCATGGTCCCAGGGTCCTGGGATCGAGTCCCATATCGGGCTCTCTGCTCCGCGGGAAGCCTGCTTCTCCCTCTCCCACTCCCCCTGCTTGTGTTCCCTCTCTCGCTGTGTCTCTGTCAAATAAATAAATAAAATCTTAAAAAAAAAAGGAACAAACTATTAATATATTAGTACGTTATACTTATAATATGGATGAATCCCAAAAACAATATGCTGAGTGAAAGTGGCAGACCCCCAAATTTATATATGATTATACTTACATGAAGTTCCAGACAAAACTAATCATGGTGAAAGAAAGAACAGTGATTGTCTCTGGGTGTGGACTTAACTGGAAAGGACAGTGAGAGAAATTTCTGGTGCTTTGGAAATATTCTATAGATAATTAATTAACTTATTTATTTATTTTTTAAGATCTTAAAATTTTTATTTATTTGACAGAGAGACAGCGAGAGAAGGAAAACAAGCAAGGGAGAGGGAGAGGGAGAAGCAGGCTTCCTGCCTAGCAGGGAGCCAGATACAGGGCTTGATCCCAGGACTCTGGGATCATGACCTGAGCCGAAGGGAGCCACCCAGGCGCCCCCTTATTTATTTATTTTTTTAAGTAGGGTCCACGCTGGGCATAGAGGGGCTTGAATTCATGACCCTGAGATCAAGACCTTGAGATCAAGACCTGAGCTGAGATCAAGAGGCTGATGCTTCACCAACTGAGCCACCCAGCCACCCCAAACGTTCTGTATTTTAAAAAAGATGGTGTGTGCATTTGTCAAAACTCATTGAATTGTAACTTGTAAGATCTGTGCATTTCACTGTATGCAAATGATAAATCAAAATAAAAATTAAAAGACAAAAAATTTAATGCATATAAAGAATTTACCACAAAGGCTAGCAAATATTAAACATTTAATAAAAGTTATCTACTCTTATTAAAATTTTAAAATTATATTCTTCTAAGTAAGGAAAAAAAACCATGTCTTTTCAGATATTTACACTTGCCCATTTGTGGCTCCAGCATAATTACATTTAAAATAACACAGCAAAACATCAAACAATGACAACAAACTCCCCAAGCATCCACAACATGATGACAAACCTCTCTGACTGGTAGATGAGATTAAAAAAAAGAAAAAGTACATCCTGATTTGGTAATCCCAGGCAGAGACTCTTGCTCTCATCTGGATCTCTGTATTTTTTTTTTTAAAGATTTTATTTATTTATTTAATTGACAGAGAGAGAGAGAGAGACAGCATGAGAGGGAACACAAGCAGGGGGAGTGGGAGAGGGAGAGGCAGGCTTCCTGCTGAGCAGGGAGCCCAATGTGGGGCTTGGTCCCAGGACCCTGGGATCATGACCCTACCCGAAGGCAGTCGCTTTAACCAACTGAGCCACCCAGGCGCCCCTCTCTGTATTTTTTTAAGGAAGCTTTCCCAGGTAGGAGTTCCATTAAAAACAAGTAACAAAATTAATATTATTGGGAAATTGGTAAATGTGAATATGAGTTGTATATTAAATAATAGTATCCTATCAGTATTAAACTTCCTATTTTGATAATTGTTCAGTAGTTATTTAAGAAAATACCTTCGTTTTTTATGCAATATACACTGAGGTATTAAAGATAACCTTATTTCCTGTCTGTAACTTACTTTCAAATAGTTCAACAGGGCAATATAAAGAGATTGATGAAACAAATATAGCAAAATAGTAACATCCAGGAATGT